AATTTGATATGAAAATCACAGACTCAATAACTCCATCCCTTGAGGCCATTTCTGCAAAGTCACTTTTCAAAGCAGAACCACAATATAAGGCCATCTGGAAGTTCAAGTTGCTGCAGAATACAGTTGCTCATTTATTAAGCAACACTTCAGTCCAAAAATTTCAGTGAGGCACTAGAGTGTATATTGGGGTTTTTTGTTTACTTTTTAAATTAATTTCAGGAAATAGGTAAAACGAGTTTCACCTACAAGTCCAAAGAGTTTGGAAACAAATGTCCATATTCATTTTCACACATTCTGTGAGCCACGCAGGGTCTGGAAATTTTACTTTCCTGAGCAGTATGTTGTTCACTGCATCACCTTAAAAGAATCTCCTGCTTTTTGTAGTCTGGATTTTAACCTTAGTGTAGGCATGCACTTTGTGGGAATGCCCAAAGCATCATGCAGTCACTGTGCACCAATCGCTCCTGACGGCCAGTGGGTTTGCTCAAATGAGTCTTGCCCTTGAATACCTGACTTTTTGTGGGTGCAGACAGAAACAGCTGTGACACCAAAGGCTATTCCTGACTCCTTGAGGTTTGGCAAGCATCATGCTGTCCGTTAGGCTCTCCCAACTGCTCTCACCTCCACCTGCCCAGCCACTGACCTGGACTTACAAACCTCCTCACACAGCGCTGCAACTTCGCTCCCTCCCCAGGCTGCATTTGGATTAAGGAGTCCCAGGAAGTTCAGCTGGGACATCCAACCATATTTAGGGAGGTGGGGAAGTCTGTTTCTTCATTTAGCATTTCTTTATTGATAACATGGGGCACCTGAAAGCAGGTCCACCTAGCACTGAGCATGCAGTGCTAAGATCTGCAGTGAACATCAAGGAACGCCGTTTGTTTTGCTTTGGTGCAGCAATAACAACATGGTGATGCCATTGGGAACAATGGCAATTACACAGCAAACCACTTTAGCACTACCATATCATTACAGCTCGATAATATGCAATCAAAACTTTATTAGCAATCATCAGCAGCATCTATTATTCATTGCTGAGATCAAGCTAAGGAAGGGAAGGCTGCATTCGTACCAGAAACAGGACTCAAAGCCAGTCTAAGCACTGGGTTGGAAGCCAATTCCATGGCTGCACAGTGCTGAGTCACTGCATAACCTTCAGCAGAATTACCACCTCAGTTGTGTCATGTATAAAATGGAATAATAACAATCTATATTTCCAAGAGACATTATTAGGAATAATTTTAACTCAGATGTACAGATAAGCATTAGCATTAATTTCTTAGGGGCTGCCAAGTCAAAGTTAAACTATTTGATTGTAAGATTCAAGTATTTACATCTAAAGTTGCAGGCATACAACACATGCAAACAGGTACCTGAGGTTGTAAAATATGTGCACCAATATATTTATGCAAAAGTTGATCCATAAAGCATATGAAAACACAAACTAAATGGTCAGTTTGATTCAGCTCCTTTATACAGTAAATGTGCTGAATAAATATGTGTGTGGGCTCTGACAGGAACAGCACTAGTATGCAAAGTATCTTCTATGTATGCACAACTCGTGACAATAATTTTAGTACTTGAATTTTCAGTTTTAGTGACAGCATCAGTTTTTTCATTATACTAATGAGGCCTAACACAACAACCAACCAACCTACATATTCCCAGTACGTACCACAAAAGTAGACCCAAAAACAACTCTCTGTTTCTTCTCAAAAATTTATTTTAGTTTATATTCAAGAGGCAACCAATGTCATCTCTATTTATTTCCCTAGATTATTTGAGTCAAATAATGATTCAATGTACTCCAATCTGAACAATTAGTTAATAAGCAAATTAGGAAAGTATCAGAAATAGCTGACTAGAGAAGCACACTGGTGTTTTCTAACTACATACTTCCACCAAGATTTTGTCTTCACCTCTTCAGTGCAACCAGACATGGCTGCTACTAGTAAAAAACTTGTTAAGGCTTTCAGTATCCAGTACTATTTTCCTTGTTTATTCAACAAGAAAAAATTCTAAGGTAATACAAACTTAGGCCTCTCAAGCCTGTAACCTGGGCAGGCACAAATTACCTGCACAAACTAACAGTGCTCTGCAGAGGCACAGAAACAATGTCACCAAGATTCATTCACCTGCAAACCTTCTTCGCATAACCTCCCCCTACCCAGGCATCTACCTTCGACTGGTGTTTTTCACCACCATTTGCATTGTTTTTAAAAGTCTGACTGCAACTCCAAGATTACTAAGAACAAAAAAAAGCATCATTGAACCATCGTTTCTCATTTTTTGTTTCACTAAGCAAGAAGAAAAAATTCTTTGGAGTGATGGGAGAAAAATAAAGAAATGAAGAGGAAAATATGTTTTAGAGGAAGAAAGATGCAGTTTCAAGAAACTAGATAACTGATAAACACCCAACTAGGATAATATTTACTGACCAGCAAGTTAAATTGGGAGATTGACGTTAAAAAAATTACCCTGGTGGGGATTGATCAGATTATAAAACTGGTTTATTTTCACTTAGTGACTAAGTCACTTAGAGAACATTGTATCTGGTATGATCTAGCCAGGAAGAAAAGCATTAAACCAATTCAGGAAATAGCTGGACAGAGTCTATTCCCCCTAGTGCACAGAAACAGATTAATGGCATTTCTCCACTGACAAAAAAAACCCACACCATTTTTCCCACCTGTTTTACTGCGTATTTGTTCTGATGCAAGTGAGAAGAATGCAAAAGAGAACCAAACAAAAAAGTTGAAAAATATATACGCTATGCATTCTGGGCAGGCTGCCACTGTGAGTGCAACACCCCAGTTCCATCAACAAACATAGGTGAAAACTGGTGAAGTTCCAATCATTTTAGGCAGGGAATAACAAAGCAGTTCCCTGACTGTTCAGTAATTTAGTACAAATAATGAGCTACATCTCAGAGAGGCACTCCTTGATATTCTTGCAGTAGCTGGTCTGATTTGTGCTTTTCCAGACCCAGGCACTTTGTACCTCCCCCAGTCCAACAACTGCATGTGCCACTTTTATGCCACAGTGGGCAGAGGTAGAGGAAGGAAGTGAGCCCAGACCAGAACATATCCAGGCATATCAGCTATGACCCCTGACCCAAGTGCTAATCTTAAGCACTTGCTTCCTTTCAGCTTTTCCATCCTAGTTTTATAAATCACTGAATCACAGGATGGTTTGGGTTGGAATTTCCCGATGATGCACACTAGTATCATTTTATTTGAATGCAGTTCACACCAGTTCTTTATACCAGCTGTCAAGCAAGGTCTGAATGACATTGTTTAAAGGGTTTATTTTCCTAAAAGGAAGCAAATTATCTGAAGCCTGTTTTATGTTTATTTTAAAAGAACAGAGAGTTTATTTTGAAGAGTCCAACTGAATAAGTTTAAAAGCCTTGTATGATAGATTACACTGAAGCGTGGAGAGCAAAACTTGAAACATATTGCACATGTTGCATGGGCCACTGGCATATAATAGGAAAGCAATGTGTGCTTACGCAATTGGGAGTATCCAAATTGCCATTTGGTTGTCTTCTTTGCACAAGATGTTGGACAAAAATTAAAACAGAAACAAATGTGCAATTAATTTTGCATCTTGTAAGTTTAAAGGATAGTTACAAATGAACCATCACAGCCCTAAAATGGCCAGTCCTGAGCCAATACTAAGCAGCCTCCATTTGATCTTACTCTCTTTCCTGAAGACCCCCTTTCTACGACCAGAAATTCCCTTTTTACTTGAAAATACCCTTGACCTACACGGACCACTGGCCCTGGCCAGACTGCACTCCTCAGTCACTGGTACAACAATAACCTACTGCAGATGCACTGTTACTGAGAAATCCCACAAGGTTAAAACAACGCTGCCTCCTTCAAAACAAGTAACAAGGCTGGTGTGCAGCATGTCCTGTTCACAGGCTTTTCCCACTCTCTATTCCCCTTCCCACTCCTTCTCTTGGATTGTCTCTGTACAACTCCTTACACATACAGATGAAGGTCGACTCCCCACACAAGCTCTTGGGACAATATGAAGTTTATGAGTACCTAAGCCACAAGGTTTTAGATAAACTGTTTTTTTCTAGACCTGAAGCTTATGAGCTACACAAGAATTTCACACAAGACTGCTCAACTAAGTCTCCTGTCGTTTATTTCTACTGCTACAGATAACCAGCAAAACTAGCATAGCAAATATTTGAGCAGTATTATATTTATTGATAACAGTGAAATACTTTCACTTTTCAAGTGTACATGATGTGTCTAGCAAAAATTTCTTGTGGAAGATTTATACAGATACACAAAAAAATTAGAGCACAAAAAGCCCCCTTAGCAAAACAAAACTAACACTTGAGAAGATAACCAGTATGACTAGTATAACATAGATTTACCTTAGCCCTGGTTCTGTGCTGATGTACACCTGAGTGTGCAATCTGTGCACACAGAGGCAAGAAGCATATTGATATCTTAATTTGCAAATGTTACGGGAATGAGAGTCAATCAGAAATTTATTTGGATTACTACTTATTCCCAGTTGTCATAAAACACCATATAACCTACACTGGTAGCACATTTCATCCAGACAATCATGATTGCTTCTGAAGCAGGATTATTTACTAAGCTTGGTACAGTACTCGAGCAGCAACAACTCCCAACAGACACATCCAAACACAGCAACCATTCCAAACTTTTTATGTAAATTTGATGCAAAATTTCTAGGAAAAGGAAAAGCATGGCATCCTGCAAAGTGGTATCAAGAAGGTTCCTTATATTCTCCACCATTGTTCATCTCTACTGTTAATTTCAAACTCTTTCTTATTGACATACAGGAACTACACTGAAGGAAGAGAAGGAGTAAGAGCCAATGACAATCTGTATAATACTACATTACTATCAGTCAGCTACCAACTCAACTCAGGAGCAGTCTGGAAAAGGAAGAGATGGATCTATTCCAAGAACAGCAGGGGGGAAGGTTATAGAAAAAACAGAATTTACCTCCACAACGAGCTCTCCAGCACTTTCCCCATGTCAGTATGATAATACTTGGTAAGGATCAGGATCACCTAAAAGAAAATGAGAATATATATTTAAATACGTAAACTGATATAAGAAACAGAAGTAGGTCATAGGCAGCATTATTTTGGGGAAGATAAAAGTGAGGCTTCTGAAAATCTGAATGGTGTTTCACCTCAATTTTTACCTGTTAAGTTTTGCTTTTAGACTGGCTTTTTCCTTTCTCTTTCTGGAGAGAGTGATTTCAGAATTTGAAGTTTCCTGCAAACCCAGTGACTTTGTGAAAGATTGCCCTTTTCACATGAGCAGTGGAGTTGGAATAGTCACATAAATACCACCACACACATGACACACCCCAAGCAATCCTTATGACTTTCTCAGCAGGAAGAACCAATCTGGTTGCTAGTTTAAATTAAGGAGGCAATTCTACAGAAACAATTATTTTTTTTAATCCAAAGTGTTAAAAAATGGTGATTAACTTTGATTATCCAGATAACAAATGCAAAAAAAAAATTAGCTCTAGTCTTCCCTACAAGATCAGAAATGCAACTTTCATGGCTATCATTTTTCATTTCTTGAAGTATCACATTTTCCCCTTTGTGAACCATCTCTGTGCTCTGTAAATTACTCATCTGCATCACCAACAGCCAATAAAATACATGAACAAATTTCATAGACAAAACGTCTATGACGAACCCAACGAAAAGAGTCAGCAAGAAACACTTTCCATCCGCTCAATATCTGACAAATTCCCTGCTTAAACAAAGTAAAGCACTAGTCCATGACCAGTGTACCAAGCTGAATGCTATGGTTTACATTTATACCCTTTAAAGACTTAATTCACGTGCTGCCATATTAGTGGTTCTTAGATCCATGTTCCCATAACAACACCACAGAGGTAGAACATCTGGCTCCTCACACAGCTGTAGGCTTCCTTTCATGTGGGGTCAACCCCGGGCTCCAACAGTTTGGAGCAAGCTGTTATTTAACTGGCACTGCCTCTGCTTCTGACCCCCAGATGAAACCTGCAGCAAGCAGCAACTGTAGGCACTCACTTTGATTATTCAGATAATTAATATGCCGATGATACATTTATGCTACAGTATCTGTGTGCTGGAGCTTGCGAGAGAACAGAATTCCAGACCATGGGTCTTATTACATGGTACTTTGGAAATAACACAGTGTTTTACAGAACTGAGCTATAATACCAGTCTCATTCAGGGTTATCTAAACCTAATAAATTCACAACACATATTCTTTGATGTAAATTGATATAAGTAAAATCAAAAACAATCTATAATTCACAAATAGTATTATTCCCTCCTATTCTCAAGAGAGTCACAACCTACCAGACGACTTAGTTGGGATTTGATTATTTATAAAAATAAAGATTTAGTTTAAAACAAAGCAAAAAAAAAAAATAATTGTAATAGGTTACAAGAATTACAAAGCCAAGAGAAAGAACTACTTCCCAAAGCAGAGAGTATCTATGGATGAGATTCCTGGCTACAGCCCAAGCACACTCCATCAGGTCAGCTGTTTATTCTATTGTCAGTGTCTTAACTACAGCTTTTTGCTTGTGCTTGCAATTAAGAGGAAAGGGAAAGAACCTTCACTACTGGGAGCATCTATTGGCTTCAACTATTAAGGAAAAAGTTTCAGACTCTGCTTTTCTGAACAATTGAAATTCCTCTTAGGCCACAAAAATTGACCTGTGAGGGTTTTTTAAGAGATACAAGGATGCATATTTGGTACGTGAAAATAAAAAAGAAAATGTCTAAAGATATAAGAGATCACATTCTGTTTCCTTCCATTCATGCAGAAATGGCGACTGAACCCTGAACTAAGTGAGCCAATTTTTTTCATCCCTGTACATCCCACAATCATTAAAATTCAGATGATTTTCAGCAATGTATGTTGGAGCCACCGTGCCACAAGCTAATCTTGATGTTTCATTCCTGAATTAAACCGGTTAAAATCACACACAGAAAATCCTATTGGGTTTTGCTCTGAATATAACCTGTATGGGAGCATCAACAAAGCACCTTCCAGGTAAGCCATTTCTGTAACTCAGCACCTGTTGGAAGTGTTAAAGATTTTCAGGCTTACTGCACTGCTGGTTAGCTGGAGTTCATCGAGGGCGTGCACACACCAAATCAGAAAGCCACAGTTGTTCCACACACTTCAACTGAATGGTTTTCAGGTAACTGCAAACTGCATTGGGGAGCAGCCACAAGCAATGAAACAGCCTCTTGACACTGCAGGATTGGTGCCTTAATCTGAGTCACAGCTCTGAAAAACAGATGCCGGTACTTTCCAATCTCACTAGTAAATTAACTGAAAAATTAAAATACCTTATTTTGCATTTTGGAGGTGGAGAGAATGACTTAGTAGGAAAACCAAAGCCATAATGAGACATCTTTGAATTCTTGAACACCATTAGCAGATTCCTGTTGCAACTTAAGAAGTGTGAGGCTGCTGGGGGGCTGACACCATTTCAACTATGCCAGTGGATTTCATCCCAGTATCCAAAAAACAGAGGTCAGCTATTTAACAGATTTTACAGCACTGTCCTCTGGATTGTGGGCATTTTTCCAGGTGACCATCCTAATCATAACAGTACTTTTTCTAAATTAATAGATACAAAGAACAGAAGGAATTATTTCACAGTAAAAGCACAAAGGCCTTCAGGATGTCTGGATTTTATGCGTCATTTTTAAGAGCAGAACCCTGTTTCACTGATTTCATTTTAATGAGACTCCATAATTACAAGCATTTTACAGGCTGGATGGAAGCCAGCGTTCATACACGTGGCTCTCCTAGTGAAAGCACTTGGGTGGCCTTTAGATGGGAAGAGGCCTAAGGCACAACAGCAACTGAGCAATGATCAAGGATAGGATTCTTAACCAGCTCATACTACCAATCAGTCATGGACAGCTAAAATAAATTTAACTTTTCTCTGTTACTATTTTACAGCTAAAATAAATCTAGGTGATGGAGGAGAATTAGATTTACCAGATCCTTTATTTACAGATGGGTTACCTAGAAATCTCCAACCCATCCAGATTCCCAGAGAATTGTGAAACCCTTTTAAACCACTGAATCTTAAATTCACCCACAGTTCTTTTGAGTTAGCTCCCAGACTATGACAGAGGGGGTAACAGTAACTTACTGTTCCATGCTAGGGATCTATGAACACATGATGGTGCTTCTGGACAAAAAAAAACCTAAAGCGAAAAAAGAAAGTGAAAACTTCTAGCTTTACCAAAGCCTTTGCCTTCTCCATAGAGCCAGAATAGGCCAGTATTTCTGCATATGTGCAAGGTATGGAAGATTAAATCCCTCAGGATTCCAAAAATCACATGCAATGTGCTTTGGAAGTAAGTTTTCAGTGGGAATAATAACTGTAGTTCTGGTCAAGTTGTCTAGGCTGGGTATTCAGAAATTTTTCTACCTCATCCATTTTTGGGGCGGGGCAGGGGGTTGTTCACACAGATTTTGATTCTTCCATGCCATTCTCCTGCTTCCATAACTTAGCTCCTGCCTGTGTGAATTCTCACTGTTACAGCAGTCACAGCTCAAAACTGTTCTCCAAAGAAAAGTGTTGAAGCAGTTTCTGATACAAAATCCTTTCTGGATGTAGGCCTGTCTTCAGGAGCGCACTGGGTTTACAGTGCCTGACAGACCAGGAAAACAAATGGAAAATTCCACAGATATTGTTACCCATTAATAATTAAAGTTAGAATGATCTATGTTTATCCCCTCTCCTTTTCTGTTGTTCTCCTCTGAAAATGTTTTGCAGCAACTCTGGACCAAAAAGAGCAAAACTTCACTTTACAGAACACAATGTGCTTTTAATCACTTCCTAATATAACTCTGGTTTTAAAGAAGCCCATTTTAATCCTCTCTTTTCATCACCATGTCAGCCAGGAGGGCTGAGGAAGGAAAAAGGAACAAATTCTTGATCTTTCCTGGTGTTTATATTTTATCTTTGGGTCTTTTTCCTTTTCTGTGAAGGATTTGCTAAGATCCTTCTCTTTTTGATAAACATCAACTTGCAGAAATTTCTTTTTCACCCCATGATCCCTCCATGATAGTTTTTATTTTTCCATGGACTATTCTTAACAGAGCTCTCTCTTTTTCTATCTCCACACAGATTCTTTCAGATTAAGTTTTATTTGACCCCTGCCATTTGTGATTTGAAGTAATTATTTTTTTTGGCATCTATTCAGAACTTTAATAGCAAAAGTCTCATACTTTCAAATGCGTAATTGCAAGTATGATTGCAAGTTTTTGTGTTTTCCCAAGTTTATTAGAAGGTGAGAGCACGCTGTAAATACTTCTGGGCAGCCAGAGCTACCAGGAAAATAAATTGCTCAGACAGACTCAAGTTCCTGCAAACTTTTTAGCATCTGTTTAATTTAATTCAAGTGAATGAACTCACTGAAATCCAAAGAAGTGTTTATGAGAGTCACTTGAACAGGTACTTAATGCTCTGTGTGACAGGAACATAAGCTGTTTTGCTCAAGAACACAGCCTCACTCACCTTTTCAGCTATTTAACTGTAACCACGCCACTGTGCACCACAACTATTCTGGGGAGATCAAGAGGTTCTGGGCACAGCCAATTAATTTGCCACCACCACTCCCTGTACCTCCCAAACTTTCTTGACAATTAATAACAAAAAACCTCCCTAACAAATCATAGGCAACCACTGCTCCAATCCCTCAAGCCACTTCTGCTTTTGCAGCAGCAGGTCTTCAATCATCATGCTAAGGCCGGCAATACTTTTCACATTTCTTATTGAAAACAAGACTTTTATGAGAAAAATAAAACTCTGGAGATTATTAATATGAAGGTATATTACCACAAGGGTATTATATGGAGCAACTGCCATACTACTATTAACAACTACATCATATTTTGATTATGTTGGAAAAACTGTAAACAGAAAAAAAAGGTTTTAGGTTTACTCTGTTGCAGCATTATGGTGGAAAGTGAAAAAGCAGACATTTAGACCATTACTAAAGCTATTAAGAATTCACTGTAT